TGTAGGAGGACACCTAGTGGGGAAGCTCTGGGATGGGAATGAAGATTGCTCCAAGGTGGTGACATTCTGTGGACTCTGGGTTGTGCATTTGTGTGATAATTAGAAATGCTTTTTCTTCCTGGAGGCAAGACCTGTGTGCAGTCTTGAGAAAAGTCTCTGAAGAGAAGTAGATGACCGTAGTAACACATGAGAGCTGCAGATCTTTGCTGTTCCAAAGCCTGCAAGGGTGTTTTTATTCTTGAATTGCTTCAGTTTCATAATTTGATTGTTTTACCGTTGCCATAAGTTATCTTCAGATAACACAGAATATTTGGGGTTTTATCTCTGACTGCAGCTAAGAGCTGAAGTTCCCAAGCACCATGGCAGATAAACTTTTTTCAAAAGTTTGCAAAGGGAGCTCTGGAAGGGACAAAAAAATGTGGGAGTGGAGGGGAGAGGGAAGTCATCTAAAACTTTTGTCACAACAACGGTTGGTTTGTGTTTTACTTTGGGACTGAGTGTGGTGATAAGAGCAGACAAGGCAAAGAAAGGAGGATTCAGAGAATGATACAGCTTTATCTGAGGTTTTTGTGTTCTACTAGTACAGTTCTATCCCTGTACACGCTTTTCTTTGTTCAGCCATTCCTGTTCTCATCCTCCCTTCTGCTCTTTTTTTTTCTAGTGTGTGTTTTGCCCCTCCACTTTTTTTTTAATGTAATCCCCTTGTAACCTTTCTGTTTCTTTTTGTCTTCTCTCCTCCCTAGGATGGGAAGGGTATTGCCTCTGCTACACTGTTTTCTTGTATCCTTCCCCAAAACTTAGCTCTTAAGTTTTGTTTGTTGCAAGTTCTTGAAGATCCACTGTTTGTTAACCTAATGTGCTTAGCATGGTGAATCCTTGCTCTTTGGCCTTTAATTTTTCCTGTAGTAAATATACAGTGTGAGTTTTCTTAATTTTGCATGTGTATTCATCAGTGAGACTTTGCTGCTGCAGTTTCTTTCCCAGTCAAAGCTGTGGTTTGCTCCAGGATGCTTATTGTTTCTCACTTAGAGGTTTTTACTTGGCTTTGWATGTTATCAGTGTCTCTGAATAGTTGCTATAAAAAAATTAAAAAAAACCCAACCAGCCAACCCCCCAACCACCCCTTGCCCACAAAGGAAAACAAAAACACATCCCCAGAAGTGAAAAGGAAAATATAAGGGAAGSAAAGTGTCCAGTTGTTTTCTTAAGGCTTGTTTTCAATTAGAAAGCCCTAACCAAAACAACACATCTGTTCCAACAGGCCTTGTTTAAAAAACTGAGACTAGCAGACAGTGTATTCTCATTGTACCATAGCTGTTGGTATGAAACACCTGTTTCACTGCCTTGCTTCCTACTGGTTTTATTACTTGTGTAGTGATGGGTAAGTTCTTGCACTTTGTTTGCTTTTCATGATTTGCAGAGGAAGACATGAGCTTGTGCTGCCAAATGTTACAGATGCTGGGGGTAAAAGATATGCATTCTGGATTTTAATGTAACTTGTTTAAGATTTTCTTTACTCTGATTTTTTGGTAATTTTTCATCACTGTCTGTCTCTGTTTAGTTTTGCCAATTTGAGGATTCACCCTCATGGATTAGTGCTGGTGGATCTGCAGAGCTACAATGATCACATGAAAGGAAGAGAGGAAGTTGATCAGGTATGAGTGCTGCTTATCTTATTAGGATTACCTAACTGCATGGGGAGCCCCTTTTTTTAGATCTGTTGAAGTCTATCTTGGTAAAAGATTAAAATATTAAAATCATTTGAATGGATGCTCACAGATGAGGAGGAATAGTAACACCTGTTGAAGTTGCATGCATACACACACTCCTCTGTAAGTACTAGGCCTCATGTTGTTTGTAAAAGTTGTAAAGATAAAACAGCCTTGGTCAGGGCTTGGATCTTTTCAGCTACCCAGGGCAGTGAGGGAGAGAATGAGATGCTCAGTCTGCAGCCTGGTGTATTAGTGTCAGMTTTCTTTTTATTCTCTGTTCTGAGAGTTGGGGAGCCTCCATACTCAATCTTATTCCCCATGGAGAAAAAGAACTTCATCTTCTCTGGTATGAAGGCTCTAGATACTGGTTATTGCAGGGAAAGAGSCTGCTGCTGTAGCAGGAATGGAACTTTAAAGCGTTCTCATATTGCTTTTTTGGCTGTGTTGTCCTGAAGAAGAGCTAAATACAGTGATGACAGCTGCTGTAATATGCACATTCTTGCTTGTAACCAGGCTGAGGAKGCCAGCTAGTTACTCCTGGGCTTCTAGTGTTACATTTCAAAGCCTTTTCATAGCAAGTGTTGTTTTATTTCCTTCCAGGTAGACTAATTTAACAGATATTTTGCATTAAGTGGTGATCTACAAATTCTACCTCACGTTTGCTATTTTTTTTCAGCTTCTAAACAAAGTAGAAGAAAGAATGAAAGAATTGTTTCATGGTAATATAAAAAGGGTCAAACGGTAAGTTTGTGCCTCTACTTTTGTATGTGCCTTGCTTTCATAGTTACTAAAGATAATCAARTTATGCTTTGCTGCAATACAGTGAATAGCCTGGAGTATGAATGTATGGGTGGGATTTTTTTTTTTTTTTTTAGTTTGTTGTGATGATTGCATGAAGTAGTGAGAGAAAATGCAACCTGGAAGCAGRAGCAGACTGCTCTGGAAAGGCTGGGCAGCCAATGGTGAGGGTTAGTGTTAAAATGAGCTCAAGCCCATAGAGGAGACCCTGCCCTGACATGGTTTCCTGCAAGTCTTTTTATAGCAAGTTTTTATAATATAACTAAAGAATGGAGGTTTTGCAAGCCCTCTGTCAGTTTGGAGTATGTAAATTCAAGGCTATATATTAAACTTTAAGGACTCAAATTGCAGCTTATGGCCTTGTAAATAACTTTCATACTGGACATGGCTTGTCTTTTGGGTGGCTGGCTGGCAATGACTGCTGTCTTGAAGCCCACAGTGGAAGGTGCAGCAGRTGCTTCAAGAATAAAAAGTGAAAAYRGGTTAAGAAAAARGCAAGTGTAAAATCAGCAAGGCTCAGTAAAGTCAAGGAGTAAAATATAAAATAAGAAAAAGTTAAGCAGTACAATGGCAGAATGTGGACCTGAAGGTTTTGAGAGATCACAAGTAAAATGGTAGTAATTTGAAAAGTAATATTATACTTAAATAGTGTTAGTTCTATTATGTAAAACAGAGTATTTACCTTGCTTTGCTTCAACCTGGCAAAGCCTTACAAGGTGCACAGTGTAGGAACACAGATGATCTTGTGTTTATAGAGGAGAAGCTTTCTGAGGCTGTTTTGATGCTGGAATGATATAGGGAGGTTGTGAAATCTCTGTGATAGGAATTTCTTAAAAAAGGTCAGGACAACATCTGCCTGAAGTGATCTAGATCTTTTGATTACCTTAGTGTAGGAAGGTGCAGCTCCTAGAGCAGTGTATCTTGTTACRCACTCCTCAAGGTATTTTTTTGCTTGTTTTTGTTTTGTTTTTAAATTCATTTTGCATCTGTTTTGGCATTAGCTGCACACACGCAGCTGCAGTAGGATGAATGTAGCTGGAGAAGTTTTTTCTGCCCTTTTGTTGTTCTGAGGTAAGGGAGGTTTGCTCCTGCTCCCACCGTGTTCTGCCATCTGGGGGTAGGAAGTGTTTCTGGAATGTTGATGGGGAAACATTAGGGAATTTAGAAGCTTGTCTAAAAAAAAAAAAACAAACCCCTTAATTCTTTGAAGTGTGTGTGGGAAAGCTGATGAACTCTGTGCCTGCACATTTTGCCTAAACGCAGTCTCTTTGATCATTTGTTGTCATTTCAAAGATTGTCTTTACAGGTGGAAATACATCTTGGTTCAAATCAGTATCTCTATGGAATTAAAAAAAAAACTCCTAAAACCCACAAACAAACCCAAAGCAATCTTTGCAGATGCTTGAATCACTTTAAAAAGCAATGCAGAACTGTCAGCTGATATCAAAGATTGTGCTTATGCACTGYTGGATGACTCAGTTTGAAACTGTAATAGTTCATTTTTTGTTTCTCTGTATTAAAACGTCTCTCTGTACAGCTTCAGAGTGAGATCAATTTAATCTCAAAAAAAATGGCATTCTTAACTGAACTGAGGATGGGAAGAGGTTTTGTTATTTTTTTTGCCTAGATTCTGCTTTTGTATTGTACTAATTTCTAGTCATGAGCTGATTCTTCTGTGGAGGCTCATATGTTATGTCTGTTTGAATAGAGAGAAATTCACAGGTATGTTGTAGAAGTTTTACATAAAAAAGAAACCATTTCTATTATCTATGCCATAGCAAGTTATGTATATTAAACATATGGCTGGAAGATTTATTCTATCTCTTGATTGTTAAACGTTGCAAATTTTTTTAGATGCCTCTTGTAAATATTATTAATTAAGGTGAATCCAAGGGATGTTGAAAGTGTTTTTTTAATAATAAAAATTACAAATTTTTGTAATCTGTTTTCAGATTAAAACAATAAAAATGTTATTTTTTTTCTAGGTTGCCAGCTATTTTGAGAGGAGGTGTCATTGATAGATACTGGCCCACAGCTGATGGGCGYCTGGTGGAGTATGACATAGATGAAGTTGTTTATGATGAAGATTCACCTTTTCAGAATATTAAAATTCTGCATTCAAAACAGTTTGGGAATATTCTTATTCTCAGTGGGGATGTTAGTAAGTATCATCCCATTTGAGGATCTTTGGCATGAAAATGTCAGAAGTGTTTTCTATCTTGCCATGGCAGTTTTAATAGATGCCTAAGGGTCATGGTTGATGCTGGAAACCATTTTTGTGTGTGTACACACATATCTKCTCCTGTGTATTAAGGAAGTTAATCTGTCTGACCAGTGTAAAATCTAGAGTAAAAAAAAAAAAAAAATATTTTTCCAGAGTTGGTATCTTTGCTGCAGGAAGCAGAAAGAATAGAAGCTGGTGTTCTATAGCAGAGCTTGCTCTACTCCATTCTTTTGTATGAACTTTTCCCTGTTTGTTGCCAATCCAACCTTCTGAGAACTTCTSTTTGACAATAAAACAAGCTTCTTTGTCAGTCTTCAAAATATGGAGTTCTAAAGAAATATGAAGAAGTGGAGCTGGCATGTGTGTATRTGTATAATCCTACTGCTCCCTTGATTTTTTTAAGGGAATTTCCTGCTTGATGAGGTACAGGACAGCTGTATCTCAAACCTTTTAGCTGCTTTATTGGTGAACATCTTTTGACTCTGCTTCAAAATAATAGAATTGAACTCTTTTAAGTTAATCAAAGTAGTGAACTAACCTTGATATGAGAGTTTTTGTATGTGGTACTTTGTGCCTGCTGACCTTTGTGTTTTTGAAAGTGAACTTAGGAGAAGGTGGGCTATTATTCTTTAAAGCTTATTCTGTCTACTGTTTGCTAGAAAATCTAAGCAACAAAGGGAGGATGCTTTGTAAAAATCTTTCAGTTCTTATGTTGAGAAGGAGTGACTGGGGTAAATGTGGGATGTTGCTGTCCAGGGATAGAATACCTATCTTCACTCTAATGGCAGAGTAATTAAGAAATTGAGCTACAGTTCTTTGAAATCATTGCAAGTGCCTCTAACAATTCAATTAACTTTCTGCAACTGTCAAGTGGGCTTCTGTGCAGATGGCAGCTGAAAAAAGTTGTTGAATTCATTAGCAAGGTATTTTCTAATCCAGATAGACTTGTATTAAAAATCATCMAATTGGGTATTCAGTACTTCTAGCCAGAATTTTTCATCAGTTTAACATGAAGATGAGGTTTTGCTTGTACATTGTGACAGTGTGACTTGTAGAAAGGGAAGTATGTCATTACTTCACTTCCATGGGATTTTAAAATAAKGATTTGTCTCATTTTGTTACTGTGCACTCTTAGGTGAGGTGGTGATTGCCAGGCAGAGGATGAGTTGTTTCTGTAGATGCTTTTGCTCTGGTCTGTATTGTATCACCTCTGGATTAATACCACTTAATGAGGACAACTGAAGATTTAATATTTCTGTCCAATTCTCTCTTCCTTCCATTCAGATCTGGCAGAAAGTGACCTGGCATATACTCAAGCCATAATGGGCAGTGGAAAAGAAGACTACACTGGGAAAGAAGTGCTAATCCTGGGAGGTGGTGATGGAGGTATACTGTGTGAGATAGTCAAACTGAAGCCAAAGATGGTTACTATGGTAGAGATATCCTTTGACAAACAGCCCATCATTCATATCAACCTGAATTTTCTGCTGGTACCTTAGCACTGAGCCCAGTTAAGTGTCAGGCTCTAATTTGCATGAGGAGATCGGGTCTAAAATAAAATTTCTTTGTCTGCTTAGAGAGACCCAGTGACTACATATTTGTGCATCATTACACAGCACCTGCTTTCAGGTTCCCAATCCATTTTATAACTCTGAGTAGCAATTTACATAAAGCTGGGAAGGAATRCCTCTGTCATGAGACTGATGCTTTCTCTAATAACAGAAGACAGGTCAGTCAAGTTTGTGGTTTGGGTTCAGTTCTGCCTTCTCAAGTTCTTCTGTTTCACTAAAAAAAAGCTATAAAAAATAGTGCCTAGAAGCAAAAAAGTTTAATCAATARGAATGTCAGGACTTGATGAATTGTATTGATGAATTGACCAACCCTGTTTTAAAAATACCAATAYAAATCAGGTTTTCAACTATCTGTTGTTCAGGTAGTTTAAAATGTAAACCACTGTTAGCCATATGAAATGTTGATCATCTTAGGTTTTGGGATCCCTTTGCTAAGACTAAAAATAATGACTTTTAAAAATGTAGGTAAAAATTTTAACCTAGTTTGWCTTTATGGAGTTTTTATTGGTTTTACAGTTCATTGTAATGATAACCTAAGGTATCAAAAATACTGGTTAAAATCAAAAATAAGCACTTCCTAATCATCTAATTGAATCTGGAGGCCAGTACATAAGRTTGACTATTGCAATACATATACCAACAGACAAATTTATTATTCCTTTGTGAATGGCACCTGTTAGAGAATTTATTTCTGAAGAAGTAGAAACTGTTACCACTATTATTTTTGGAATATATTAGGCCTTAACAAGCTTCAAACATTGACCAAATGGTGATTGACGGGTGTAAAAAACACATGCGTAAAACGTGCGGAGATGTCTTAGACAATCTGAAAGGAGAGTGYTACCAGGTAATATTTTGTTTTATTTTCTTTAAAATTAGTATTTCAAATACACTTAGACCTAGTTGGAAAGACTGCTGTAGCAACTTTTTTGGGGACAAGTTTTCTGACTTAAGTTTGGGATGCATTTTTTCCTTTTGTATGATTCTAATAGCTAGAATTTGTGTTGGAGGTATTTTAACTCCATTTTTAGACTTCTAAAATTAATAGAATGTAGCTTTTAAGAAATGTGAAAAAGGAGAATGTTTGTTTGCTATAACTTAGAAATAAAGTATTTCCAGTAAGAATKTAGTGTTTTATTAGTCTTTAAATTGTTAAAAAGGTAGAGGAAATGTGTATTTCTTAGTTATTCTGTCCTTACAAAATACCTGAATTTATAATATACATTAAGCAACTGTTTTTAATTTGCAGGTAGAATCTCTTAATATTACACTGCTATTATATTAAAATTTAAAAGAAAAAAAACAACAAATGTACTGCATTCCTGCAGTTTGAGGTCTTTGTGCTGCATCTGACAGCACTTACAAACAAGCCCAGGTGTAATCTGACATCTTTCTGTTTTCATTACTGATCCTTAGATGCATCACAGATATTAACTTACAGSAGTGAGYTAAAAAAAAWYMMCAAAAAATTAACAAAAAAGTCACRTGCTACTSTGTGGAAGTCAGTGGCCCTTCATAAAAATATCTATTCTGCTCATATGTAGGAAGAACAGTGGTCACAGATCTAGGAATTTCAATCCTGGAGTGTCTGTGTTGTCACTGTCATAATTCCTACAAAAATTCCTCCTTTTTTTTGTGATGTAAAAAGTTGAACATAGAGCCTAAAAATAAATATGTATTTAAATTTGTATTTTTTCCATCTTAATTTCTGTGAATCCACATTTGTTTCTTTTACCTGATCAGTTTTAGAGTATTTTCAGAACTAGCTACAGTATTTCTTTCTTTTAGGTTCTAATTGAAGACTGTATTCCTGTATTGAAGAGGTATGCCAAAGAAGGAAGAATGTTTGATTATGTAATTAATGATCTGACGGCTGTTCCAATCTCCACATCTCCAGAAGAAGGTAAATCCAATTTATTTTCTTAAACTTTTKAGAATTTTCAGCATTTGTCTTTCTACTGCATAATAGTTTGCTCTATAAATGCTTTCATTTTTCTTCCTTTTTAAAAGCAAATCTTAGAGGCAAAAAAAAAAATAGTAAGAAATCTGGTTTTTAAAATTTTTTTTGAATATTAGAAAATACTCATGCCTAGAGCTTTTTTAAATCTTTTATTCCAGAATAATAGGAACTCATGTAGTTCTTGAAAAAGTATTTGGAGTTCATACTCCATTAAGTTTTCCTTAGTTTATAATTTCTTGGAAATTTCTGGAATATTCCTGTGAAGAAAACCAACAATACTCCTTCTATCGTTGCCATTGTGTATGGTTTGCATTTGTGGTTTGTTTTTTTATCCAGGCTATATTTTTTTTTCTTTTAATTTTTTTAAGACTTTATTGGCTTGTTTACTTATTACATACTCAAGATTTGCAATGTGCTGTTCTGTTTTTCAATTATTCCCCATATGCAGATTCCACATGGGAATTTCTGCGGTTGATTCTTGACCTCTCAATGAAAGTCCTGAAACAAGATGGAAAATACTTCACACAGGTATAATATCTGGATATGATCAAGTACCACTTTATGTCTATTGCAATTTACATTTTTTCATTTTAAAAAAATGACAAAACTAACTAGAAATCTACTACAAGCTGGTTTTCTTCCTTTAATGACTTAACAGGCATTTTTATGTGAAAGTTAGGCTTTGCTAAGTGATGTCATTTCTCATTGTTTTAGCTGAATTTGTAGCACTTTTGGTSTGGAGTTTAAAAGCATAATTTTAAGACTCAGCAAGGCATACTACAGAATATTGCAACTGAAAAATTCTTGGAAAAGCAGAGCAGATGTAGTTTATGAAGAGACACATGATTTTTAATCTAATGTTTACAATTGTAGAGTGTAAATCATAACAATTTTTGATTTATTAAATTATAAGAGTTTGACATAGGTGCAATGGGATGATAAAATTAGTATAGCCACCTCACAGGTAATAGAATTGTGGTGTGAAAATAGCTTATATAATCCTGAATTTGGAATGCCACAAAGCTTTGTGCAATTGTACAACAGTAGGACACGAGCTAGCAGTTGGTTCAGTGGAGTCTAAGTCTCTGAAGTTGTATTTCTTTTTGTCATGCTCATATGCTAAATTTCTGATGTGTGGAGAATCTTAAGTGCCATATTTTGGAATAGTACCTAAGCTCTGAAATGTAAAGAAATTACTGTAAAATAGTACAGGTTTGTAAAGAAATGTAAAACTTGTGGGATGAGGTTTCTGGCAATTATGGTATCCTGCTCTGTTTTAATTTGCTGTGGTTGTATGGGTGAGAGAAATTATCTTGTGGTTGAAATAGAAGATGTGATTAACAYGGTTGTACCACACTGTAAATTTTGATGGCATTTCTGTCCTGTTAATAGTGGAAATATTTATGGCAGATTTTGCTATCAAAAGGATGCTAAATCTTTTGGAAACAGAGCAAATCATTGTTGTAGTTGCTGTACTTGTAGCATACACAGTAATGCTAGCTGGCCTCATTGGAATGGAGGCAAACATGTCTGGGGATGGGTATTTTGGACTTTGCAGGAGGATTCTTGAGGAGAAGCTGGTGCTGAAAGCTGGAATGATGGCTGTGCTGTAGCCAGCAGACAGGGGAGTTGTTTTGTGTCAGCTGAGGTGGAAAGTGGTCCAGCCCTGCTGCTTTTCCTGTCCTGATGGAAGGAGATAGAGCAGCTCTCCATCATCTGCCTGCACAGAAAGAAAAAAGGGCAGCAGTCCTCAACCAGCCCTGGTTTTTAGCTGTTGTGAAACTATGCAATGCTGTATTTTGTGGTCCCAAAGCAGCATGGTGGGACATGGCAGGATGGGAAAGAAAATACTAAAATTGAGGTAGCTTAAATTTGGACTTCTGAGTATAAGAGTATAAGAAGCAGTGTTCTCTAGTTTAGTCTTTAGTCTTTCTGAAGGTTCTGAAAAAGGGACAATTAATATTGGGGCAGATAGCTATCAGCTTTTGATACATCTTACTGGTACTTTATCTCACTGGTTTGATYGTTCTTATAGCCCCTTCCCAGCTARAATAATCCTCTGTAAAAATTGAATAACCCTCTCTATTGGGTTTATGTGGCCAGATTGTGGTAGTGAAGGAGGGTGGGGAGGGCTCTTCCATGTCCAGCAAAGCCAGTCAGTGACTGTGGTAGTGCCCCTGGGATAAGATTTTTTGAAGGGTCTAAGGAGGAGGCAGTGAATTTGCTAGTAAACTTCACCCTGGGGAGAAAAGAGGGGTAGGGGAAGATGTTCTTAAAATTTTGTTTAATTTTTTATTATCCSATTCTGATTTGGTGAGGAAATTAATTGACTTTATTACCAAAGTTGAGTCTCTTTTGCYYRTGACARTAACTGGTGAGTGAACTCTCCTCATCCTTCTCTGCCCCCATRCCTTTTGCTATWTTTTCTCTCCTCTGTCCAGCTAAGCAGGGGAGTGACAGTGCATCTTTTATGGGCACCTGCCACCCAGTCAGGGTCACCCCACTACAACCTCAATAGTCTAGTCATAGGATGAACAGACTATTGGGGTGCTTTAAATAAAATTATAACTTTGTTTGTAATTTTTATAATAATGTTTATAACTGTCGATAAAGTTTAAATTATTTAAGCAAATTTAAATTCAGGTAAACTATCTGAAGCTGGCTACTTGGAGGATTGTGTTAGAATGTGGACAGAAGTTCAGATATGATCACTGCCAACTTTGGCAACTTAGTCACACACTGGGAACTCATAAATAATTTTGTGTGCTCTGTTGTGTTTGCTGTTTAATCCCAGTGGTTTTAACATTTGGAATTTAATTTACTTTTGTTCCAGCTATCTACTGTCTACTTCCAGGRTGCTTATCTTATGTAGCAGCCTTGCTAAAGAAATCATGTGCCTTTTAAGGCWGTTGTGTTTTTAAAATTGAGGACTCTGTGTGTCCCAGCCCCTTGTTTGCATTTTGGTTCTCTAAAGCAAAAAGTATTTAATATCATCAAGAAAAGCAGCTGGGAGAGTGTCCACTTACTTGTTAGAGCCTCATCTTTGCTATGATGAGGAAGTATTTCATAGGAAAGATGAAAGGATAATAATCCTTTTGACTACTAGCCAGTTACAGTTGCTTTTTTTGCCTTGGTGTTATGTTGTACTAACCCTGGAAATTTCTGTCCTTGGTAGCTTATAGCCTGTCCCCTTGCATCCTGAACAGAATATCTAGTTAGGATATCATTTATTTCAATGCAGAAGAAATGCTTTACCCATAAGTGGAATGATGTTTACAGAAAGCCAGCCTTTCATATACTGTATTGCTGCCTGACTGCTGGGAAAAATAAAGGGAGATGCTCATCACCTCTTCATTGAGCTCTGCACAAGTTTTAGAAAATGTTCTGAGCTGCACGTGAATTGTCAGCAGTCAGGGTCTAGCACTAACTCCAGATGGATATAATTTATCTGAGATTATAAAAAGAATTACTTCTGGCATGCTGCTCTAACACACCTGGTGGTTCCCTCGGGATTCCTTCCTTGGTGATCCTCCAAATGCTTGTGCAGAATGTCCTGTCACCACTAGATGGTGGCAGGAAACTGGGATTGCCTGGCAGTTTATTGACATTTATAGAAATTCTGCCTGTAGGAGGTTTTTCAGACTATTTATCTGTCTTCCTAGGGAATATAAGAACTTACGTGGCCAATTTTAAGATGCAAGAGGGAYTTCTTCCTTTTTTTTCAGCTCTGGAAAAATAGAAAAGGGCAGTTAATGATGTCATTCTCTGCTGTTTTGTGTCTTAGTGTATTTGGGGAAAAAAGCCTCTAAACTTTCTCTGCAATAGTGATCCAACTTAGAACAAAAACTAATATGAATAGCAGCCATGCTTTACATGCCCCTGCTTTTSTAGCWRCATCATCCATRTTGAGTGTTGCAGCTTACACAGGATCTCACAGAGAGACATGAATTTTAGGGCCCTTAGCCTGCAGAACTTGGAAATCTGTCTGCAGGATTAAGATTTGAAGCTTGTTTGTGAAAACTTTATTTTAAACATAACCCCACCACTCTGAAGTTCAGTGGTCACATGGCATGCTCTTATTTCTATTCKTCCTTTTTCTTCTGGAGCTGGTGCTTTGGAGTGTTTAATGATACAATCTGATTTTCAATGCAGTGTGAGGCCATGTCTGTGAAGTGCTCAGTGTTACCTTCTCCAAGGAGAACCAGTTGCAGGTACAGATTCCCAGTCATGACAGTGGAGTGAAATTGGAGTTGGTGAGGATATAAGACCTTGGTGTGTCCTGAGGTCCAGTTTCATCTCTAACATACCTTCCCAGCAACATATTTTTGACCATGTTAAATGTTTTTTGCAGTATTGGACTTTCTAAAAGTATGATTTTTAGATAGTGATYTTTTTCAAGTGAATTATGTATTCTTGTAGCTATCAGCATATGTTTGTGGTTTTTGTTTTTCTAAACCATCACTCTCTTGTATCTTCAAAGTAGCACGTGAAGTTTGTCCCAAGAGCTGTGAAACCATGCTCTGTAAGATGCAGAGACTGATTTTAAGGTTGTCTCTGAGTGCATCGTGTGTAGCTAAGAAAGTACCTTTTTCTGTGCTAAGTTTTTGTTCTGTTGATCTAATCTTTTGAGGTTGAGAAGGCTATCATTTTCAGTCTGTTTATGAAGTRGAACCTTTAAAAATACCTCTGAAAAGGAATTTGTCACTTCCTGGTTGGGGTCACTGAGCACAAGCAGGATAGAAACTCAGTCCACTCACAGGTTCCAGTAAACAGCACTGACCCCTGGTGCAAAGGATCATGTSTCTCCCACACAAACATTTCACTAAGTTGTGTCTTCCTGGCCACTCTCTTATGCAGCCCTCTAAATGTCCAGACAATCATCATGTTGCTCCATAGTTAGAGTATTTTTTTTTTTTTGGCTGCCATGTGGGCTTTCTAATTAGCACTTCCAACAAGGGAGCAAGATTCTCCATGACTGAACCATGAAAGGAGGCTGGAAGAATTGGGTGTATGTCCCTGTGGGAGCTTCTGTGGTTTCTTGGTAGTTTGAGAGACTTTAGGGATGGACATTTTAATTTCCTTTTGTTACTGAGAGTTCAGCTTTAAGCTAATTGATCTTTTGTCCATTAGAGGTACCTACAGTCAGGTTTGTGTCCATTATCTCCTTAACAGCCCTCCCTGTCCCCCAAACTCAAGCCTGGGTTTGATATTTGGTGTTTGGTGCTGTCTCTCACTGCTTTACTATTCACTCTGAAGTGAGGAAGGATAAAACCCAACCATGGCCATGTTCAATTATGGCACATCATTACAAAACAAAAATAGAAACCCGTGTTAAAAATTTAACTTCTCTGGCCTACAGTCACAGACAAATGTGTCCAGTGACAATGACATGTAAGTTAAGAAATGAGAAAGTATGGAAAAGGCCTTTCACCTAATTTTAAGTCACTAGTTTACTTTCTGAGTATTGGAGGAAACATAGTGGCCTAAGTTCAGCTTGTAATCAGCTGATGGACACATCCCCTTTTATAGATTGGCAGAGTTAATTGGAACTTACAGGTTAATTTAAACCATTTCTTTCTTTGCTACTTATTTTAAGGAATGGTTTTTATTCTATGTCCAGGACTGTATTTATTATTCGAATGTGTTATGCATTGTGCTGTAGAAACCTAAAAACTAAACCCATGGAACTACAAAATGTATGCCCAGAAAAATTGATGTGGGGGGAGACAAGAATGTGCTGTTGGAGTGAGTGCAAACAGTGAACAGACTCAGGATGCAAAGGCTGTGAAACAARGAGTCACTCATCTTAAACAAGGTTTTATAGACAGAGATTTGTTAATCTCCATGTTAAAACTGCTTCAAACACTTTTGTGTCCGAAAGATGCTTCTTAAGGGGTAAAAAAAAAAAAAATCATAATTCTCCTAGTTCTTACCTGTCAAATTGTGTGACATAGAGATTAAGTAAGGAGGGTTGGGCAGAGGGATTTTATAGGATTTTTGTATACGCTGGGACACAGAAGAAAGTGATTTTGTTAATTTTCTTTTGAAAGAGTGTAATTGGTGAGTCATCTGCTTTAAACATTATTAAACAGCATTCAGTATTAGCTATTGTTTGAGTTAACTGGTGTCTGTTCAGAACAAACAATGCATTTGCTCTAGCACATAACTCTTCATTAGGCAGCAGGAATTAAAGTGGACCCAGGTTTTTAGACTGATTTCTGCATTCTGGGCTTGTTTTTTAGGTGGCATTTAGGTGATACYAGAACATCTAAGTGTGATTGACATTGTTATTAACATTGTAGTCTTGGTTGATACAGCTGGTCACTTTTTAAAGAAAGGTGTTAATAATAGTGATTTTTCAATAACTTTTTTTGAAATAAGCCTTAAGTTTTGTAGATTTGATTTTTGGAATGCTTAACTTAGTGTTGAGTAAAGCCAGAAAGTTTCARAAAATAACTGTGCAGAACTATAAAATCCTGTAATGTTTCTCCAGAAGAAAAGGGTTGGTAGAAAGGCCAGATAGGTTCTCTGACCCTTTAGACAAGATCTTGATTTGGAGATGGGAGAATTGTGGGTTTGAAAAGTAAAAATTGTTTCTTGGCATGTTCATTGTTTCTGTAATTTGTTTTTCCTGGTGTCTGCAGTGATTTCTTTCTCTCTTGCTAGAGAAGGGAGAAATGATGAAATACTGAAGTCTGGGAAACAGGATACTTTTCTATCATTGTATATCCTATTTAACTTCCTACGTAATAATGGTATGCTCTGTAAATTACCTAGCAGTGTTTCTATTTATGACTCAAATTRCACACACAGGTTGTTTTTTAGTTTCCTTTTGCATTCATTCTGATGGTGAAACAAAATGATATGTTTGGTAAACAGCAGCTGAACCAAAAAAAACTSCACAATCCCCTGGATAATAACAGGCTACTAAACAAGTACTGCAGCAGCCTATTCATTGTTATGCTCAATTTGTGTTAAGTCTTCTACCTTTTTAGAAATCTCATTTGTTTTCTGATACCCAAACCCAAATATGAAAAATGCCCTATAAAGCATGTCACCTTCTYTTACCAAATCAACAAATGCACGATTGTTTGTGCAATATCATCAAAATTACAATCAATCATGTTTTATACAAGTGTCTTGAAGGAGGGCTTTTCTAAATATGACTTTTAAAAGATTAAAGAATGATAGAATAGAGTAGAATCATTGGATTTCCTGGCATGGAAGGGATCCACAGGAATCATCAAAGTCAAACTCCTGGCCCTGTGCAGGGCAAGCCCAAGAATCACATCATGTGCCTGAGAGGATTCTCAAGATGCTGTGTTAAGATTTTTTAAGTTGAGGTTTTCTTTTCCACTTGTGAAAACTTGAGCACAATCCAAAAAATGCAAAAAATTCAGAGGAAGATGAGTGGAATGAATTCTCTTTTCACTTCCTCTGGAAATAGAAATATTTTAAATACACTGTGAAAAAATCCTACCAATAAAAAGTAGGAAAAATAGTATAAATCCCAAAGTCAGAACGTACATTTTACACTTTGGTTCTACTTATCAACTGATGTTGTTACATGGAAAAAGCAATGTAAATGGAGCTGCTTAAAAATACTGATTTCAAATGTGACTTTTGCTTGTTTTGGCCTCTGCCTGTTGTTTTAAAGAGCATGAATAGTACTTGTTCAAACTCATCTTAGTTCCTTGCTTTGTGAAAATTAACTTCCAATTGCATCTATGTGCATGTAATCATTTTAAGGCCATTAAAAAAAATGTGGGAGCACT